CGGGGCTGGAGGGGTGGCGGGGAGGCGGGCCGTGCGCCTCCGCAGCCTCCAAGCCCGGGCGCTGTCCGCTGGGTGCGTCCGCTGCCCGAGCCCCCGCGCTGTCCCCTGCGCACGTCCTGCGCTTCCCAGTGCCGCCATGCTCCTGCTGCTGGGGTTGTGCTTGGGGCTGCCCCTCTGCGCGGTGTCGCTGGAAGAGGCGAAGAGCTGGGGTGACACTTCGGAGCGAGTAAGTGGAGATCTGGGGGGAAACCAGGGAGGGCCCCTGTCTGTTCCCGTCGTCTCCTTCGGGCGCGTGGCTGCCGGGCAGGTGCTTGACCTGGAGGCGAGGAGGAGAGGGACCACCCCCATTTCCTGTCACATCGTCCCCCCTTCTCCTCTCCGTCCCCCAGCCCTCTGCAGGGGAACTCCCCCATCTATTGGTCACTCGTGGCGAGTGTCTGGATGGTGATATTTCCTGCAGAACTGTATCTGGGACTTCAGAGTCCTGCAGAACCTAACCTCCTTGGCCTCCGTTATCCGCGCGGATTACTGCTCGTTTTTTGTTGTTCATTTGTGAGCCAGAGCCCTAAGCTAATTACAAGGATCTTTAAGTCGGCTGTCCTGGGCAGCGCGTTCTTACTGTTGTTCCTGGCTGTCCAGAGAGAAAGCACCATCTAGGGAAAGTCCCCAACTGTTGGAAACCTCAGCTTTTCCCATCGGAAAACAGGGAGAACACGACTCTCCACCAGGTTCTTATCCCTGGTTTAGCAGTTTAAAGGTGGCCGGATGGTGGGCAGACGGCCAAGAACCAAAGGGTCACACTTTTCCTAGTTAATATTGCGTCCATCTGCCAGGATTTGTGTTTTAAATGGCTCAACCTCAAAGGTGGATAAAGCCTGCAAACATGAAATCTCCACATAGTGTGTGATGAACAGAAAGGCTTTATGAAAAACAGGAACATGCGTGTAAAGACCTTGGAGGAAGAAGTGGCTCTCTCTCAAGTAGTGCATCGCTACACCTCCTGGTGCAGTTTGTACACACCTCATTTAAATTATATTCAAAGTGTTTAGCCGAAAGCATGTTTTCACGTGATGGGAGGAAGAGATGAGTAGGCACACTTTTCCCCGTCCAGCACCTTGGTTTGTTGGCAGAGCCAGTCTGGAAGACAGAATCTGCCTGAGCATCAGATGGTTTCCCTCATGTTGACTCTGCCTCACAGCTGTGCTTTCTGCAACATGGAAGGAATGGTCGGTCATTCTCTCGTAGCGTGTCAGGAGGCATAACCCATAAAAATTCCAGGAGGCTGTGCGGTGGAGAGGGGAAGGTGCTGGCGGGGATCGAGAGAGAAAGGCTGGCCTTAGCCATTTCAAGTGGTGTGGCCTGGGCACGCTGTTTTGGCTTGCTCCTTCTTTTCCTGTTGATCCCAGCAGGGAGTCCGTCTCCTTGTGGGCATATTTGTAAGGATTCAGCCGCTAGTGTGTGGCAAGGACCCTGGTATACAGTGGGCACTCAGTAAATGGTAGTTTTAGTAAATGGGCTTGGTGCCAGGCTGCCTGGGTCTGATTTCTGATTCTGTCACTTAACAGTTCTGTGACTCTGGGCGGGTACCTTGGGGCCTCAATGTCCAGTTCTGTAAAACGTGGACAATAACGGGGTGATGAGGATTGAACAGTTAATATACCTAAAGTGCTCGGAACAGTGTCAGCACTTCATGTTGGCTCTGACTGGTAGGCTGGGGCAGCTGAAGTGCTGAGGGAAGGAATTTAGGGTAAAGATCTTAAAACGTTTTGGAGGGGGATGTGGAGGAAGGAGCATGTGGGAAGAACTGAAACAAAGAGTCTGTTTATGAACTAGGAAGAAGGATTGAAGTTTTAACATCTGCAAGTCCAAGTAGGCTAAACCCACCATAGAATAACATGGGTTTGGCCCCTGGTAGTGATTTCATGCTGTCTTCTACCCATGGCCCTATTTATCTTGAAACTGACTAAATCAGAAAAAAACTCCAAGATAGAGAGTTCTGTGAAAATTTGCAATTTTACCTTTTATCTCCACTCTATTACAATTTTTAAAAACGTACTCATTTATTTATTTAGTGTGATGTAGGATTTAAGAGCACAGGCTCCAGAACCAGACTTTCTGGGTTCAAATCCTGGCTCTGCACTTCCTGGAGAGTTACTGAATGTCTGCGAGCCTCTGTTTTCCTCATCTGTAGAATGTGGATGATCTGACTTAAAAGGATTTTGACAATTAAGCGAATCAATGTACTTAAAACTGAGGGCAGTACCTGGAAATGTAGTGCTCTAATCTCAAAATGATGGTCTTCAAAATGATATGTAAACTCAGGTTTTCTTATGTAACTGAATATGCCTATTAATTTGCATTGCAATTTTCACAGATGTTATCTTATTTGTCATTTACCTTTAATTGGAGGTATTTCTAATAACACCTTAGACTCCAGTTTCTTTCTCACTCCCCCACCTCATGTGTAACCAAAATTACCCATAGCAGGATTACTACAAGCCATGTTTTTCAAACTTTGGTGTCAAAAATGACACTCGGGGAGCTCATTAAACATTCAGATTTCTGACCTCCACTCCCATCAACTTAGATCCATTTGGTTTACATGGGGCCCAGATGGTTCCGATTCGGGTGATCTGTGGTCCCCTGTTAGAATAATACTGCTTTAAAAACATCTTTCAGGAAATTACTATTAAAAAGGAAGTCTCTTGTATAAAATCAGACTGCCACAAATTTATCTGTTCTGTAAGTTTCAAGTTGATGGTTTCTTTAAATAAGAATAGTGCCATATTCTTCTTATAAAAGCAGTTCTTAATTTACAAAATAATAATAATAATCATCAGTTATTGAGGGTCCATAATGTCCTAGAGAGTTTGCTAGGAGCGCTGTGTAAAAATAATAAGAAGCAATCAAGTGTTTGGTTAAGAGTACTCCAAGTGGAGCCAGACTGCCTGGGTTCCAATCTGGGTCCCACCACTAACTGGCTGTGTGTGTTTGGGCAAGAAGCTTAACCTCTCTGGGTTGCAATTTAATCATCTGCAAGATAGAGTTGTTAATAGTTCCTACCTCATAGGCAGGAGTAGGTCTGGGTTTTGGGAAGGGAGTAAAATTTACACAGTTTGCAGGGCCCTCATGAAGATAAAGAATATCAAATTATGATTACCCAACTTGATGCTAATGTGAACATTTATTTAGGATGATAAGCAAATCACAACAAGCAAATACATTTGACAAGCTGACAAACACTAAAGTAACACCCATTGACAAGGGATTGTAATGTGAGGGCTCCTGAAGCTTATTACATTTTATTAGCTTCTAAATGATAATAGAATATGAAATAGAAAATAGTAAGCCACTTCTGCTCTGACTGTTGTGAGGATTAAATGGGTTAATTTAGGCAAAGTACTTGCCTATAGTAATATTCGCTATTGATAGTACTTATATGTACAGCCTGGTTAAATCTCCGATGACCACTGCAAGGACAGTCTCAGCGTTCTCGCTTTACCCACGAGAAGCATGGAGGTCCACCCAGAGGTGTGACGTCCCCGAGCTCCTGTGTGCCCAGGCTGGAGTGGAACACAAGTGTGCTGATGACAAAGGCAGCTCTCAGTGTCTCCTCCAAAGACCAAGCCACTTTCTTATTTACAATCAAAAGTAGTCTGTTTCAGTGTGATTTTTATTTGTAGCTCCTGGTATGTAGACAGTGTTTGATATATGCTTGTGGTACCACATTGATGGGGGTGATGCATTTCTAATTCCCCAAATAGAGGATTTCTGGAGTTTTAATTTGTTAGGATCTCTCTCCCAGAACCAAACCTTGGCATTGGGGATAACAGAAAACCAAGACAACTGTGGGTTTTTTGTTCTTGTTTTTTTTAACTTTTGAAAAGTAAAGTAAATAAAAGATTTTGTGAGCTCCAGACCATTCAGTAACGTCTTCTTTTTATGGGCATGGGTGGAATTGTTGAAATGGAGGGGTAGAGCTGAATGGGGAAGGAGATTCCCTGTTGTGGGGAGAGAGTCCAGAGATGTCCTCATTCCTAAACCAGCCCTATCTTGTTTCTTTGAGGGGGGTGGGGGGAAGGAAGGGTGGGGGTGTCCTGAGAATCAGGTGAGGAGTTGTATGTGGCTTGGTGTTCCTAGCTCACACCGTTCCGAAAATCTAGATGCTCGAACTTAAAGCACGCTTGCCTACGATGCTGTCAGACTTCCAGTGGGAAGTCCCAGCATGCTTTCTGTATCTCAGGAACAGCAGCGTCTATTTAGGAAGATGGGGTTATAGGATGGAGCCCTGAGCTTTCTGGGGAAGGGCAGAGGGTTCTGAACCTCTTGATTATTGTCCCACAAGCAAGGTCCATGTCCCTTGTTTTTCACAGTTAAAAGAAACAGAGACTTGCCTACAGGTAGTTGGTTTTTTGTTTTGTTTTGTTTTTTAAAGTTGCCTGGAAATTGTTTGGAATTTTAGCCCCAGAATGAAATTTCTTCTTCCATTACTGAGTTATAGGCACCCCAAATTGCAAATGGTTAATAGTTGAACAACCTGCAGGAACATCGCTCTGAAGGAAGAGAACTTGTGCGGGTGGTACAGAATTACCCAAACGGGCATCTTCCCAGACTAAGCTGTGCTCAGCCTCGGTGATCGATGGTGTCCCAGTGCCTTTCCAACCTGTGGCTTTTGGTTTTGCTTCAGATCCTATAAGAGATCTCTGAGACAGTGGGCTCCTGAGTTCCTGGGTCTTGGTTTCAGGATTTCAGAATGCACTCAGAAGTTGGAGCCAGCTGGGAGATGATGTCCTAGTCCAGAGTCCTGTAGTCCCCAACATCAGTCACTTGATGGTGTGTGGCTGAGGCTGGCCTAAGTGTAGCATCGCTTGGCTCTGTTATGGGACCTAGAGTCACAGGCCCAGTGACAGAGCTCAAAAGGAAGGTAGAAGGCAGGAATCCTACCTTGATGTCTCTCTGTCACTCCACCTGGGTCATGAAAGCATTAACACCAAAAGGCAACACATGTGGCCTACGTATTCACAGTCCCTTTCACCACAGGTATAATTAGGCTTTCCTGCTCTCCTGTCTTCCCAGGCTCTTTCCCATTTTGGGACTTTTTGGAGTGCTTTCAGGGTGTTTCTCCTCTCTTCTAATCGTGATCCAACACTGTGATAGACCCTGGGGAAAAATACAATCTCTATCATCCAAATTATGTCATTTAAGCAGTGCCTGTTGGTATCGATGTATAGTTAGACTAACTGATGATGGGGTAGCTGGGGGAGATTGTAAACCCCTCAGGCCTGATAGTGTTCTTGCTATATCACTTGTGCAAAGGACATCTTCAGCCACCCTTTACCTCGTGGTAGTGAACAGCCGCCATCACCTACACAGCCACCTTCTCTCTCGGGCCCCTGACCAACAACGAGGGCTGTCCCATGCTCCACGTGTGGGTCTCTAGCCCACAGCTGGAGTCATGGGTGCAGCAGCTGTTGGGAGTCAGTCCCCAGGACCCTAGAGGAACCCCCACTCCCAAACAAAATTCTAGTCACACCATCACAAAGCCTGTCATGGTTATTAAAGAACATGGTGCAGTCTTCTTTTTTTTCCATTGCCTTTGTAACTCATAAAAATTACTTTGCCTAGTCAATTTTCATAGGTATATTAGTTTCTTTTAAGTTAGATAGTATGGTCCTTGATGGCAAAGATATTGACTTATATTTCTCAATCAGTGGTGTGGCATCTTCTGGACATCTTCTGTTCTGATGCTGGAAGAAATAAGCTCAGCCCAGGAAGAGCAAAGGATCCTATTTGTGCTGTCTCTTAAGTCTCTGATGTGGGGCCCCGAGCAGCTTGGTGGAGGCTCTAAGATTACTATTCATGGTAGTCCTCGATATGAAGCTGGAGTTGGTTACTTATCGGTCCTTAACCCTCGCTCCCAGATTCTTAAAAGGCAACGGGAGAACACTCAAACAATTAATGGGATCAGGAATGCCTAACTAAAAACAATGATGATGACATTGGTGTCATTTCCATTTCAATCTTAGCTGGCACCAGGAGTCTGTGTATACTGGGGAAGTTTTGATTCTGGTTCAATCTGAGTTGAAACTTGGACTGAAGTGTAGCCATAGAGATCCCCTGAGAGGTCAGACAGCCATCTCAAAAATGAAAAAACCAACTTCTCTTGTTCTTCTTGAAGCTTGTTTATTTTCTTGGAAAACCTATTTTATGAAGGCAGAAACTTCAAAGAAAATACTTCAGCCAAAGAACATAATACCTGAGAGGGGCTGGGCTTTTCTTCTGATCATAGTTATGTGAAGTGGTCCCCAGCCAATTTCACAATTTTAGGAAAGGGAAAGCCTGAGATAAATCTGCTGAACGGGTAAAGACCTTGCCCAGCATGCTTACTGTGGCTTTCCTTGAACAATCTCATACATCCTACCTCATTTTAGAAACGGAAACCAGTATCCTCCTAGTACTTGTTTAGTTCTTATTTGGAGTCAGGGCAGATGTCAACCTAGATCCGATATTATTTCTTTCTAGTTCATGTTCTATAGAATAGCCTTTATTATGATTTATAATGGTAATTTACAAGTGTGTGTGTGTGTGTGTGTGTGTGTGTGTACATATATGTGTGTGTGTGCATTTTTTCTTTTCCTGGGAGGGATCAGGGAGAGGATAGGGATTAAAACATTTTCCATTATACTTTTAGTTTACAAATGGGAATACTTTATTGTTTTTTCTATTACAGGAAGCAGTGATTGCTAATTTGTCAAAAACTGAAGCAGTACAGAAAAGTTTAAAGAAGAAGAATTAAACCATCCAAAGTTAATAGCCATTAGCATGTTGATGCACATTCTACACATACAAACACTTATGCTTACAAAAACAAGGTCCTGTTAGATATGGTGTTTTTTTACCTGAGTTAATCACTTAAACACGTGTTATTAATATATCAGTCAGGATAGGCTGGGCTATACTGTTGTCACAACCCCCAAAGCTCAATGTCTCCAATGACAAACGTCTAGTTCTTGCTTATACGACTTGTCCATCTTGGGTTGGCAGTGGTACAGGAATGTACTTTGTGGTCACTCGGGGACCTGGGCTTCATGGAGTAGCTGCCACCTCCAATGTTGCTAATTACTATGCCATAGAAAAAAAGCATTTGTGCAGGATCACACATCAGTAATTAAATACTTGGACCAGGAGTGACAACTGTTTCTTACATTCATAGCTTATTGGCCAGAACCTGTCACATGACCCTGCCTTCCCGCAAGGGGTCAAGAAATGCAATACTTCTGGCAGAAAGCTAGAGAAGTATTCAGTGAACGGCACCCAAGTGCAGTTAAATGAACATTTACTGAAGTCAATAAATATAAAGCCATGTCATTATTTTTAATAGCTATATTTTAATTAATCTGTGTATCACAATATATTTAACCAAACCACTTTTTAAGGCTATTTTAGACTATTTCCAATTATTACCAATTGTTTTTAAAGTTGCAAAGAGTTTTCTTGTACATTTTTTTTCTTCTGCTGATTCTTTTCCCCCTTATAATACTTTTCTGTAAGGAGAATTTCTAAATTAAAAGACATGCATACTGTGAGAATGTAAAATGTTACAGCCACTAGGAAAAGTTTGGCAATTTCTTAAAAGTTAAACTGAAATTTACCGTATGACCCAGGAGTTCCACTCCTAGGTATCCTGAAGGAAATAAAAACATATGCCCAACACAGTTTAGCACGTGAATGTTTATGCAAGTTCCACATAACAGCCAAATAATAGGCCCAAAGTAGAAACAGTCTAAATGTCTACCAGCTGATGAACCAAATGTGGTTCATCCATACAGTGGAGTACTATTGAGACACAAAAAGGAATGAAGTACTGATACATGCTACAACATGAATGAACCTTGAAAAGACTATACTACATGAAAAAAGCCAGTTATGAAAGACCACATATTTTATGATTTTATGTATATGAAATGTCCAGAATGAGAAAATCCATAGAGACAAAGTAGTTTAGTGGTTGCCGAGGGCCAGGGGAAAGGCAGGAGTTTGGAGGTGGCAGTTAAGGGGTGCAGGGTTTCTTTTGGGTAACAAAAATGTTCTAAATCGATCTTGATGATGGTTACACCATTCCATGAATATACTAAAAAAACATTGGATTGTATACTTCAAATGAATGCATTTTATTGTTTGTAAATTATACCTCAAAAAGCTGTTAAAAAAAGATGCATCAAATCTGGGCACATTTTTCAAGTTTTGGATCGATGTTGTCAAATTATCCTTCAGGAAGAACGATTTATTACTTTTTGCAGTAGTAGTTAATGCTTCTGTTATTTATACAGTGATTTTCATGAGTAATGTTCAATAGCTGGCTAGGAGTTTTTCATGAATCCAGAGTAGCTGGTTAATTAATATCATTTTTGAAAATGAGGATTTATATTACCTTCCCACGCCCCTCCTCTGCATGTGGGAAAACACAGCAAATTATCCAGAAAAAACACAATAAGACAATTTAAGATAAGTTCAGTTTTGCTTTCAGAGTGTCCTGGAGTTTTGAGTTGAATAACTGAGCCCATCAGAGTAAAGCTGAACACGTTCTCTCATTGTAATGAACACAATAACAAAGAGCTTATTTTCAAGTCCGAGATAAAATGAAACACAATACCGATACTCTCATGTACTCTCAGTCCTTGTCATTTTATCCAGACCCCTGGAACAGATTTAGGGACACTCAGGTAGTGTGATGACGTGGATTAAGCAGTCAACCAGATGTGAGAGGGGTGAATCCACATATGGCCTAGAAGCTCCTTGATGAAAGGTCAAAGCTGCTTTTCAGGAAGGATAGTCCTTTTTTGTGACTTTGAAGTGACTTTTGACCCCTTCATGTAACTCCTTTTAGAATGACCTTGCAGTCACATTTCATGACTCTTCTCTTTTTATAGGTTGGACTCAGGGTCCCGAGGCAAGTCCGGCTGCTGCAAAGGCTGGTATGTATATTCAGGGTGCATCTTAATGTCTGCTCTCTCGTGAGTCTGTGTATTTTGAACCAGGAACTAGCTTTGTGTGCAGCGCCTCCAAAGCCTATAAAGTTACTTCTAGAAGGATTCTAACATCACACAGCATACATAGCTTTCGTAAGGCTTTCTTTTAGTGGCTTTTACTTTCTGGAAAGAGACCTGATTGTTTTCAGTAGGCCTATAAGGACAAAGTACGGGAGTTTTAAAGGCCTTCTTAAAAAAGAAAACCAACACCTAAATTCCCCTTGACTTTTTTTTTATGACATTCTTACACAAGAAATAAAGGCTTCCTTGTGAAGTAAACAACTAAAGCAAGAAAAGAATTCACATTTACAAATTAAAGCTTTATGCCATGCTAGTTGGGCAAGGCTCTCAAGGCCTGTTGGAGGCTATCAGGTGGGAACTCGGGCATTCATTCAACAAGTATTTTTTCTGAATGCTTCCTGTCTACCCTGCACTGTTCCAAGCACTGGGAATATAGCAAGGGACAAAACAGGCCACAGATGCTGTCCTTCCTAGAGCTGGAATGTTAAAGGGGCAGAGATAAGCAAAGTAAATAATACATTGTAAGCATATTAGTGACGGAGAAGACAACGAGTGCCACTGAGAAAAATAAAACGGCAGAGGAACATGGGGGGACCTTACATACATTAGTGTCTATGGGATTCCTCCCACCTTCCCTCCCTCCCTCCATAGTTTCATCCCTTCCTCCTTCTCTCCCTCAATCCCTCCCTTATCTATGAGATTTCTGAGCACTGCTTTCAAACAGTGGGATCCTATAATGACAGCTACTGTTTACTGAGGCATTTTACAGATGAGAAAACTGAGGTTCATTCAGCGAGACTGAGGAACTTGCTCTAAACTACAGGGTTGGTAAGAGGTGGTAGAAGTTAAAGTCCCAATAGTCTGGCCCCTGAATCTTGTGCTCTTAGCTAATATACCAAACTGCTTCTCAATGATATGTATTTTTCTATTGTTATTTTCACTCACCTGGCCTAGCTCTACCGGCCCATTCTTTAAGATGGCGAGAAATGCTCCAAGTTGTTGGCACACCATAATTTGTTAAGCATTCTATTATTGATGAGCTTTCAATTGTTTTCCAGGGCTTTTTTCCCCCCTATAAACACCACTGCAAAAAACTTTTTGTTCAGTCTACCATGTGGGTGCTTTTAATATAATGGCCTAGATTTTTAGTAGAAGGATTGCTGGATCAAAGTGCATATATGTTTTAAATTTTGATAGGTGTTATCAGATTACTTTTTGAATACTGTTCTGCTTACTACTGTCTGTATTAATTCCATTTCTATCCACAGTGATGAATATGCACATTTCTGCCAGCAGTAGATATAATTACTCTTTTTTGACTTGCCAGTCTCTTAGATATAAAGTGATATTTCATTGTTCCTTTAACTTGCATTACCCTAACTACTTATGAGTTTGTACCTTTTTTAGGCTGTTCAGAGTAGTTCTATGAACTGATTTTTTTTTTCAGGTCTTGCACCCATTTTTATAATGTGTTTTTTATCCCGTAATTGTCAGTATGTTGAATAACCTTGTATGTTGTAGACACTCTGTATTTTCCGCAGAGTTCTCATTAAAATCTGTCATTTGTCTATTAATGTTGTTTATGGAATATTTGCCGTATGAAAAATTTTAAGTTCCTGAGCAGTAAGTTTGTCTTTTTTTTTTCTTTAAAGATTTTATTGGGGAATTGGGGGAGAGGAACAGTGTTGGGGAATTGGGGAAGGGGAAATAGCCAGGTTGTTGTCCTTCATTCTTAGTTGTGGAGGGCACAGCTAGCTCAGCTCCAAGTCCAGTCGTGCCGCTCAGCTCAAGGTGCTTTGCTCAATTAGTTGTGGATGGGCCTAGCCCATCGTCTCAAACAGGCAACCTTGTTGTTAGGAGCACATGCTTTCACCAGCTGAGCCATCCTGCCACCTGTTGGCAGCTCAGTGGCAGCTCAGCTCAGGCGCAGCTCACAGGCCCATGTGGGAATCAAACAGGCGACCGTGTTGCTCAGAGCTCGCACTCTTGAGCAAGTTCTTAACCAACTGAGCCACTCGGCTGGCCCAAGTTTGTCTTTTCTTTATAGCTTCGAGTTTTCATTCTTGGTTACATAGATTTGCTTGAGCCTTTCGCTTAGACTGTCTATGTCACCTCTCAGATGATCTGAGAGCACTCTGGGAATTTTAAGTTTTACTGTTACATGTATTATACTTTTCTAACATGAGCGTTGCCCATTCAACCGATACCCGAATGTGGTCTTTCCAGCAGTACACATGCTGCCCCTTTAGTGACTCCACATCACCTGCAGAAATAACTCCAAGGACATAACAAGGCCCTGCGTGACCCGGCTCCTGCCTGGCTCTGTAGCCTCAGTTTACCCTACAAGTCTCCTTGTATTTTAGATCCTAGCCGTACCACACTGATCTGAATGTTCTGTTCCCTGATGAATAGAATGTGGGTGACAACAACTGGTACTCTCTCATTGCCACCAATCCTGGACCACAGGGATTTGCTTGGTTTCATTCTGAATTAATTAGTTACGCTTTTCATGAAGTATCCTTGGTATCACATACACACACACATAAAACATTAATAGTTTGAAAGCCAGGGGTGTCTTTGTGTCGGTGCTTAGCAGATATAGGCCTGGTTCTCCTATGACAGTTCGCTGTCATCATTTAACCTCCCAATGTAAACGGCCATGTCTGGCATCTCCTTCATAGCAGTTATTCTAAAATTTGTGGGCTGCATTTGTTTTAAGCAAATGTTGTAAGATACGTAGACGCGGAAATGATCGTTGTGAAGGAAGACGCTTATACTCACAGATGTGTGGGAACAGGAGGCATGCCACACAAGACCACATGGGAAGCACAGAGCCAGTCAGGAGGCAGAACGGACAGAGGGACAGCATGGCCCAGAGCCTTTATTATTTATTTATTTATTTATTTATTTATTTATTTATTTTTGCAGTAAAGAATTGGTGAGTAAGCTTAGGATTAGATAGTTTGAATAATTTTGGCAGGTTCTGGGCTACAGTGGCAGTCCCTCGTTGTCCAGTGTGGCCCTGGGATGACTCAGGGCAGGGGGAATATTGATTTGGTGTGTGAGAGTTTGATAAAGGAGGTGGTCAGGGATGTGGGCTGTGTGCTGGTTCCGTATAGATCAAAGGTATACTCACAGGAGAGTTGTTTATCTCTAGGAATTAGAGAGAGCAAATGCCAGGGCATTAGGAATATATAGGGAATAAGAAAGTATATGCAGTACAGCAGGTAGCATGGTGCTGGTGCCGTTACCTCATGGAGGGTTAGTTATATACGAGGTCAGACAATTAAGTTCGCAAACTCATCCTAGGGAAAGTGCCAGATACCTCATTGTTGAATGTCACTGTGGTCACCTGCGAAGTACTCCCCTTGGGAAGTTATGCACTTATGCCAGCACCTAGTCCACCCTTCAAAGCAATTTTGGAACTCTTTTTCTGGAATGGCCATCAGAGCTGTCGTCGTATTGCCCTTGATGTCCTGAATGTCATCAAAATATCTGCCTTTCAATATTTCCTTTATCTTCAGGTAAAGAAAGAAGTCACTGGGGGCCAGATCAGGCAAGTAGGGAGGGTGTTCCAATACAGTTATTTGTTTACTGGCTAAAAACTCCCTCACAGACAGTNGGAGGGTGTTCCAATACAGTTATTTGTTTACTGGCTAAAAACTCCCTCACAGACAGTGCCGTGTGAGCTGGTGCATTGTCGTGATGCAAGAACCATGAATTGTTGGCGAAAAGTACAGGTTGTCTAACCTTTTCACGCAACCTTTTCAGCACTTCCAAATAGTAAACTTGGTTAACTGCTTGTCCAGTTGGTACAAATTCATAATGAATTATCCATCTAATATCAAAAAAGGTTAGCAGCATCACTGCAACAAGTTCACAAACTTCATTATCAGACTTCATATGTGCCTGTCTCTCCACTCTCAACTCTAACCATCATGGTTTATCCTTTTTTTAGGAGGTGTGAAGAGCGGGCTTTTTTTCCTACCTAAAGGTGATAATAGCATTTGATCTTTCCTCTCCTCTAAACATCATGAAATATTGCTGAGTAGAATGTATTACCACAAAAAGTGATCCAAGGCTGAGGCCACCCTCTGTCTACAGAGGGTAAATTATTTCTCCAACCTGGTAAATACAGCCCCCAGAGAGGTGCCGGGTCTGAAAATCTTCTGCTTCATGTAATAACAACATGGGTTATTCTGTTTTTCCTCAAAAAGGAGAGGCCTTAGGGTTTAGTAAAGATCTCTGGATCTAGAGTCAGCCAAACTGCCAAGGCTCAGCTTTCTCCTTTATAAAGTGAGGGGGAGCTGAGGTAGATGGTTTCTGACATTCTCTACCACCTTCAAAGTTACTTCTTCCAATGGTCCCTGAAGAACTGTCAGATCAGAATAAAACAACAGGTTAATCTTCTGGGAGGAGGCCTGGCGTCTGGCAAATGACATCACACATTCCCCAGTTATATTTCCAGATGGCATCTCGGGTAATTCAGGACATCCTCTGGGTGACTTGATTTTAAGTGACTCATATGAGTCACACAGAAACATTTGGCCCCTCGAGACGCTAATTAAGACACTCCCTGCTTCAAACTGCTTTTCCGTCTGTTTAGCTTTTGTAGGAAAATAATGAAGAAGTTATGATGTCATAGGAAGACTTGATTTTTGCCCCCCTGTATTCCAGTTGACATCCCCAAGTGAAATGAATTAAATATAAAAATGGAAAGCATGTTGGCATTTTAAGAACCATGCATTGGGAAAAATTGAGGTAACTGTTTTATATCCTTCCTTCTATGACAGATTTTCATGAACTTCTGTCACTCCAAGTTCTGTGCTTGGCTTTTGGGGTTTCCTTTTCCTGACAATTTTATGTACCTGGTCAGTATTCTTCTCACAATGTGTCCTTCTTTCTGACTAAGCTACTCTGTTCTT